CAATCGGATCAAACCATCATCATCAAGAGTAGGTGGCAAGTATCCGATGTACAAATTTGTGTCATCGTATTCCTTGGTAGGCTTGATTCCAACTGATCCCAAGCCTGGATGTGATGATGCACTGCTAGCACTCCCAGCGCTGTTAGCCCAAGGAGGATTGCTTACTGAACTATTGCCTGGGCCAAGAGCCAATGTACTGGTCTGCTTAGTTGCAGATTCAGGAACTGTCCCACCTAACTCAGCCAAAAAGTTCTGATACTCATCGTCCATTTTCTTCCCAGTTGTACCCTTCACTGGACAATCAATGGTTGGATGCCCACCATCACCACATATCTTACAAAGAACATCACTCTTAAAGGTCGAAGTCCGTGATGGACATGCATACTGACGGTGCCCCGGTTCACCACACAACCTACAATACTCCTCATCCCTTATTGTCCCATTCAAGGCCGCAAGTTCCCTAAGTTGTTGCCTCTTATGCTCATTCAACACCTCATCCACAGGCTGCAAGAGCTTCTCCACCATCCCAGCCGCAGCATCAAGTGCGTCTTGCGTATCCGCCTCAACCAAAACATGCAAGTCCTCATTCTCAGAAGGGTCAGGTTTCAAATCCCTCTTCTGTTGCAGCCTACCCTCTTTCACCGACCCTTTACCCCTAATGACAATTTTTGCACCAGTTTCTTTCTCCATCCTCTTCTGGGTATTACCCCTCGGGCCAATGATAAGACCAATAAAATTATAACCCGGATATTCTTTCATTGGTATGTAAAGCTTCTTCTGAAGCTTAGGCGGCCTGTAATCAGCTGGAGGCTTAAACGCAGGGTTCCTCTTAATAATCTGAGCAATAATTTCCTGTCTCTCTTTGTTCAACCTCTCACGGGCACGGAACTCTCTAGTATTAATCCTAATTCCCATATTATCATATATAGGTTCCGGTGAAGGAGACCGGGCCCCTTCGGGACGATCATCCAAAGGCAAACCAGAAGACAGCATTCGACTAATCTCAAGAAGCCTACTATTCAAAGCTTGAATTTCTGGATCAAACTCAATACCTCCCATGAAATCCGGTAGCTGAATCACCGGCTTCGGCTCCTCATCCGCCCACCGCGACTTCCTCTTCCTCGGGCCGCTACCCGACTCGCCGCCACCACTCTGGTTGTCTGACTCGGGCTGAGGGTCCCACCGGCTGCGGCGGCGGCGCCTGCTCGTCGTCTCCTCCTCCCCGCCGGAGCCATCTCTGTCGGTGCCACTATGGGTGTTGGTCAATCCATTCTCCGACAGCAGCGGCTTTTGGATATCGGGCCTGAGAGCAAGCGTCTTGCTGCCGTCGTTTGAATTACCATTCTCAGTACCAGTCTGGGGAATTTGGGCGGGGTTTTGAGCATTGGAAGCTAGGGTTTCAGAGGGAGATGGTGGAGATGGGTCCTTATAATCTGAGACTAGGGTTTCCGGAGGGGGAGGAGGTTTGAGATCGTAGGAGGGTGCGGTTTCAGTAGACAGATTAGAAAAAGTAGGGGGTTGAGGATCTAGAGCTTCGATTGGAGGAGGGTTAGGGTTTGATTGGAGAGTCTCCATGGCTTGAGATTGGAGAAGCTTCGAGTTTCGAGTGCCGGAGAGAGTCCAGATGTGAATGCGCTCGAAAGACGAAAATTTTGGTTTGATAAACAAGAGCGGGACGACGCGTATCCAAGTATTTATAGAAGGATAGATCCAATTGTGAAACGGGGGAAATAAAACTAACAACCAAGGCCCGGCCCAATAAGTAAAGAACTGCAAAGGCGAGATCAATCGAGTTTTCTGTCTTTAAACGACAATTAGAATTTGACATCGAGTTTATATTCTGTCTTTAAACGACAGTTAGAATTTTTCTTCTTTAATTTTTCCAAATATCCATAAATATAAAATCCTTTTTTCCTGATTTTGCATTTACATATAAAATACGTTGGCATACCAACACAAATCAGTTGATAGTATCAAAATTCGTTGAATTCGCACCATATGGTGGATGTAATAAAATGCCCTAATACATTACAAAATTCCACTTTTGCCAATGATCCAATCAACATAATAATTGAAACAAATGTATCGAGCTTCTTGTAGTAGTTCATCAAGTAGCACAACTTGACAATTGGTGAGAAACAATTGAAAATTTTAATCATTATTATCTTTAGGTACATAAAGTGGAAAAAAAACATTATATACTACAAAAAGCTACACAACAATGAAATTAAAACCTAAAACAAACATAAAAAGATGGGAAAAAAACAATAATAGTATATGAGTGGGCAATTGTATTATCAACGAATAATAAAAGGAGTACACAATAAAATAAGTGGCAATGGATTAACATATTTATGCACAATATGTGCATTAATAAAATCCACGTTAAATAGGAATTTGCACAAATCAAGCACAAGAAAAAAATGAAGGTCTGACATTTACATTCAAAATGTAATTATTCCTTTAATTACATGATCAAATATAATCATTAATGGCCTATAAATCCTCATCTTACCCGTTTTAGACAATAGGGATATAATAGGAACAAAAAATTTAAATACCAATCAGTTAAATACAAAAGATTAAGTCAACATGTCAAAAATGGAATGTAATATACATGGCAAACTAGTCAAATGACTTGTATCAACAAACAATAATTCGAGAACTAGACCTAACTATTGGTTGGATTTTTGGACTTCTATCAACTTTTCTATAAATTATAAGTATGATCAAGAAAAACATTAAATTAAAAAGTTTATAATACAATTACGAAGTAATTAGTAATTAGTTCTTAATCTAGTGAGTGATATAATGCTAAAAATGTATTGTTGATCTAATGGCAACACTGAAAATATGATTGAGGTTAACCAAGGTGGTTGGTGTGAGTGGTTCGGCACTCTCATTCCTTCAGAGAGGTCAGGGGTTCAATCCCCGCTCTAGTATGGAGTCACCACTTTGGCCAATACTTTACCCCTTACGAGCCGACGCGGTGTGAGCGGGGATTAGTCTGGGTTGTGGTTAAGGCTTGAAGGTGCCACCCATAGTTGGGGCCCATCCAGGACCACCTCGTGGTTCAGACCAAAAAAAATAAATATATATATGATTGAGGTTCTTTATTCTAATTTCATGTCTTAGTCCTAATAAAAACTTGTTAGTGGTTGGTAACATAATTTCATGAAAGAATTTAGGAACAAAAGAGTCCAGCAATACAAGTTAGGAACAAAAACATTAAAGGATCCAAAACATCGAATTAATTCCCAACAAAACAAAGCACCAAATATTTCTCAACCCTCCCTCCCTCCCTCATTGAAATGGTCATATAATTATTCATATCTTGAGGGATTGACCACAACAAACTTCCCACATTTCCCCTGCTCATCCGCAACAGCGTTAATATTCCAGGGATTACACGCATCAACACTAGCAGTGAGCTCAAATGGAGGAACATCACTAGACAACCACTGTTGAACATAAAACATTGATTTCGAACATCCAGTGTCAGGTCCCGTGGTGGCGACCTCCACGTGGTCGCAGTACCAGCCCGGGTGCGCCCCGGACCCATCACATGTGAGGCTGAGCCGGCAAACGGGTCCATCCATGCATGGACCACGTACACTAAATACGTCTAGATTGCCACGCTCAAAGTAATCGTAGTATGGGCTCATTAGGCCCCAGGACTCAAGATCCGGCACCCATACTGAGCGGCCCGAGAAGTCTCCAAGGCTCAGGCTTATCTTTGAGTCTGTACCAGCCTTCATGAGTGACCCTGTTTTTATGTAAATGGTGTACACACATTTGTCCTGCATATCAAGATTCAATAAAAAATCATATGTTCATATTACTTGTAAGTAAACATGCCATAATCCATAAATAATCAACAATTGTGGGGTTTGAGAATTGAGATATGGAGGAGTTTCTACCAAAGATTAGAGTGGTTAACAAAAAAGGCTGAGCCGGCAAACGGGTCCATCCATGCATGGACCACGTACACTAAATACGTCTAGATTGCCACGCTCAAAGTAATCGTAGTATGGGCTCATTAGGCCCCAGGACTCAAGATCCGGCACCCATACTGAGCGGCCCGAGAAGTCTCCAAGGCTCAGGCTTATCTTTGAGTCTGTACCAGCCTTCATGAGTGACCCTGTCTTTATGTAAATGGTGTACACACATTTGTCCTGCATATCAAGATTCAATAAAAAATCATATATATATAACATATTCAAATTGAAAATAAAATAAAATGTTATAACATATTCGCATATATATATTCATATTACTTGTAAGTAAACATGCCATAATCCATAAAAAATCAACAATATTGGGGTTTGAGAATTGAGATATGGAGGAGTTTCTACCAAAGATTAGAGTGGTTAACAAAAATGAGTAGCTGAATATATGGGATAATTGATTATACTCACATGAGAATCACCAGATGCTGTAGAGAGGAAGAGAGTGATCATGATCAGGGTTAACGTGATGCGGCGGCTCGACATTTTTGCCCTCAACTTGCTAATTAGATGCATAAATTTGAGGACGTGAGACTGAGAACGGAGAAGGGGTAGATCATGGAGTATTGGCCCAGTACCTCTAACCTACTAGTGGAAGTGTACCTATATATATAGATGTACCTATGTATGGTAATGGTACTATGGTAAAAAAAAAAAAGGGGTATTATTGACTTCTTAGATTTCGTTTATGCTTTAAATGGCTCCAATTTGGAAGATCTCGCAAGTTATTATTTTTTTCTTTTTAATAAATCTATATATTTCTAAATCTATTTTGGTTGAAAATTGAAATGTAAATAAAGTTGCAGGTGCTTTGATGGTAACAGAAAGGTGTTGACTTGTGTAGGCTTTAGGTGCCTCCCAAACGCGCACCAACAGAGAGCATCAGCATCCTGTTCATGATTTTTTAATGTTTGACTTTTGGTTGTGCTAAGCACAAATCACACTGGCTCTACGATTTCATCTAACAGTAATTTCATCAGTTTTATTGTCCATTTATTCGTATACACTAATTTTAAAAAATGTTGAATCTGTATTTCCAGCAAACTCTTTAACAGTGAAGCCAACTTTCTCAAACTTGCTTTCCTCATTGCTTTCTCTGAACTTCAAGTAATCTGCACAAATAAATGGCTTATAGACCCTCAGATTCCCTTCTCCTACCACTTCATGTGGGGCATAAATCACACTTTCATCTTCAAAGCACCAAAAGAAAGCCAATGAGAATCTGCTAACGCATCGCTTTAAAACACCCATGTGCTCAGATGACCTTAACTTTCCCTTGCTCCATGCTTGCATCAAGTCCCATATGTTCACCACAAGAGTCTCAGCACATGGTTCTATGTCCATCCATTTCCCTTCCTTTATATTTTAAGAGTATAGCCGTGCTACTTTATAAATAGAATATTCTAGCAGTATCGCCGTGCGGCTATACTCTCTAAATAGAATATTTAACAGTCTAGCCGCGCGGCTATACCTTTTAAATAGCATAATCTTGATTTCTCTTTTTTAATTACTTTATTTAGTAGTTATGTTTTAATTATTATTTACTTAGTGAATAATTAGTATTTAATTTTTTTATTAAATAAATAATAATAATTAACATTTATTAAGTAATATAATTTAGGAAGTTAATTAAAATATTTAATTATTCACTAAAGAAACAATAATTAAAACATAATTACTAATGGAAGTATTTAAATAAGGCTAAGATATAATTTAATTAATAAAAAGAAATTTTTAAAAAGTATATTTTAAGCGTATAGCCGCGCGGCTATACTTGTCTATTAAAGAAGTATCGCCGCCTGGCTGTACTGTATGAATAGAATATCCTAGCAGTATAGCCGCATGGCGATACTCTAGGACTAGAATTTTAACCGTATAGCCGCGCGGCTATAGTCTATAAAAAGAATTTTAACAGTATAACCGTGCGGCTATACTCTTTAAATAAAATATTTTAACCGTATAGCCGCGCGGCTATACCCTTTATATAGCATAATCTTGATTTCTCTTTTTTAATTACTTTATTTAGTAGTTATATTTTAATTATTAATTACTTAGTGAATAATTAGTATTTAAATATTTTATTAATTTATGAAGTTAATTAAAATATTTAATTATTCACTAAAGAATTAATAATTAAAACATAATTACAGATGAAAGTAATTAAATAAGGCGGAGTTATTATTTAATTACTAAAAAGAAAATTTATTGGACCTAAAGATACTAAACTTATATTTATTTTTTAAAAACATCTTTCCCAACGAAATTTTGTTTGCACATGTCTATCCAAGCGAAATTTGCCGTATTAGACCTCTCCTAAAGATGTTTTGTCGGCAGAGGTAAATTTTGTTCGGAGAGGTCTAATCCGGCAAATGTCGCGGGGATAGACCTATGCTAACGAACTTTCGTCGGGAGAGGTTTTTAGTTATTTTATTTTATTTTAATTTTTAAACATATAAAATTAGTTTCTTTACTCTTTTTTTGGCCAACTTCTTTAGTTTAATATATGTAATTAAGTAATATCTTAAACTTTTTTAATTACTTGAATTAGTGATTATGTTTTAATTATTATTTCTTTAGTGAATATTTAAGAGTGCTGCTAAACGAACCCTAAAATTAACTGAGTACACCCTATGATCTAAGTACACCCTAATATTTTAATTAAAATGTAAAATTAACTAAGTACACCCTATAGAACTACCACAAATACCCCTGATACACCCTAATACTTGTAGCATTATTTTATAGTTGATTTTCAGCTTGATTTTTTTAATAGTGTTTATAAATCTTTGACTTTTCATATGGATTTATGCTTCTACTAAAATTGTTGACACTTTTTTTGCAATTACAAGTTCTTGCAATCACCACCTCTTTCGTTAAAAACACAATAGGACAAATGGGAAATTAAATACAAATTATCTCATAACATTTTTTGTGTTGGAAGAAGCCAAATGAGCAAAAAGCCATCATAATTACCCATGCACGAAGCTGAGACAAACGCATGGAGATTTATCCATGGCTCCAAAAATAAAAATAAAAAGACATGCTTTTGGTTGTTCAGAGAGGGTCTAGGTAAGTCAGATTGATTTTCATATTCATAAAGAAACTTTGACTTTGACTTTGATTCGGTTTCTTTTCTTATTGTTGATTGGGTAATTAGGATGATAAAAGATTGTTGGAGCATAAACACAAAGAACAGGAAGAAAGAAACAGCACAGACGATTGCAAAAGGTTGGAAACCAAGTAATCCAAGTTGCCAAGAAATAGTTCTGAGAAGAAAGAAGGAAGGCTTCATCTACTCCAAGCCATTCTGACTCGCGGATCACAAAGATGGGAATCAAGTAATCTCTTGATTAGGGTTGAATATGGTTAATAAGGTGTACTTATTAAAATTATATTTGTTTCATAATTCCACATATCCTTTTTGGTCATTTTATATTAGGGTAAATCAGTAATTCAATATATTTTTTTGTAGTTGGGTGTACTCAGTTAATTTTAGGGTTCATTTAGCAGCACTCATATTTAAATAATTTACTGATTTCATAAATTACTTAATAAATATTAATTAATTATTTAAAATTATTTTGTGGACTTAAAAAAAAAAAATTAATACAAAATTAGTTTGGGTAAATCCAAGTCTCGAACCAAAAACCCTAGCTTCCGAATTTGTTCCAAAACCTTTCTCGAGCCTCGAACCCTAACCATAAGCTTACTAAGGAGTAGATACTTTCTCTTCTTTTCCAATGTGGGACTCAAGTTCATGTATTTCAATCAAACTCCAACAAGTAGTTGATGTTATCGAATCACCTTGTGACTTGGATTGAAGTTTTGAGGCTAAAATCCATTTTTGGAATACTAAAATATTTGGGGTACCAAAACCAAATTTCTATGAACAAATTTTCTAAGATTTTCATTTTTAATCAGGTTCAAAGAAGAGAAGAGGATATGAAAGGCGCCTGTAAAGCAAAGAAAGAAAAAGCTGGGCGAAACTTACAAGAAGACCAGGTATTTGCTTATGTGAATTTGTGACGAAAGGTCTTTACTTTCTAAAGAAAAACATACGCGTAATTCAATTTTAATTTTTAACCAATTTTCACATCTTCGGAGAATTTTTTCTGGCCGGTTCTCAATAAGGTCATGCAGAGCGGAGAGATAAAATTTAAGTGGACTGCTTTTCTTTTTCCTCTTGTTTGAGTTAATTCGTTATCAGTTTTCACTGAAACTTTTGCACCAGTTTTTTCTGTCTTCATTATCTTGACTAGCAAGTCCAATAGTCGGTAGCTGCATGCTCTTTGGTCATCCACTAGAATGAAGAACCCACTGAAGTTATTTCCTTGGCTTTTCTTATGATGTTGACAAAGGAAAGAAGAAGACTCGTGCTAGCAATTAAGTCTTCATATCCGCGTTGTGAAATGGAGTACCGAGTTGACAATAATATACACTGTACCGAGCTTCTCCTAAGTTTCGTGGAAAATACAAAACAATGAACTGGGTTGCATCGCCAACAACTTCAAGGAAACTGGGTTGCAACTTGCAATGCCAACAACTTCAAGGAAACTGGGTTGCAGCCAAATCATCCAAATACGCTACACTAAACAAGGAGCCAAAACCAAACAAACACATTTTTCCCCATTCCGTTCCTCTGTAATTTCAAACAAGGTCAAATCAGCTTATCTGTTTTTCTGTCGAACACAACATGGCAGAAGCTGCTGTTATTTTTGTTTTAGAAAGGGTTGCTGATGTAGTTGCTGAAATCCAATTTCCCAAGGATGTCCGTCCAGAAATCCAGCGGCTGAGAGATGAACTGAAGCGGATGCAGTGTTTTTTAAAATATGCGGATGCAAAGCAAGAAAGCGATTTACAGGTACGTAATTGGGTTTCTGATGTCAGAAATCTTGCTTATGATGCTGAAGACCTCATTGACACATATATCTTAAAAATTGAATCCTTCAAGTACAAGAAGCGGAACTTTTTAAACAGATATGCTTCCACTCTCAAAGCGCGTACCAAAATTGGGAAAGACCTTGCAGCTATCCGCACAAGAATCTCTGACATTTCCATCAGCCATGAAGCATATGGCATAAGAAGTATCGGAGACGGAACCAGTCATGCCTTTGCCAACGAAAGGCTACTGAAGCTGCGGCGATCAACTCCTCGTGGTCAGGATAAGGATATTGTTGGTCTGGAGGAAGATATAGCTACTCTGGTGGCACGCCTTGTCCTGGAGGATCAATGGAGAGCAATTTCAATAGTAGGCATGGGTGGTATCGGTAAGACCACTTGTGCTAAAGAAGTCTATAATCATGGTGATGTTCAAACTTTTTTTGATTGCCGTGCTTGGGTTTACGTATCCCAACAGTTTAGAACAAGAGACATACTGCAGAGCATTATAAAACAAGTTGCAACAAGAACAAGAGACATGACGAAGTTGTTAGAAGAAGAGTTGGAGGAAATGCTTTATAAACTTTTGCAAGGGAGACGCTATTTGGTTGTTTTAGATGATATATGGAGCACCACCGATTTTGACAGTCTTGCAAAGGCCTTCCCAAGTGATTGCAGTGGCAATAAATTATTGCTTACAACTCGCAACAACAATGTTGCTCTGCATGCAGATGCCCAAAGCCTTCCCCATGAACTGCGATTTCGAAACCAAGAGGACAGTTGGAAGTTGTTATGCAGAAAAGCATTCACCGAAAGTATTGATAGAGTATGTCCTCAACAATTGGAGGAAATTGGGCAGGAAATTGTGGCGAAATGTTCTGGTCTACCACTAGCCATCATTGTGGTGGGGGGCATGCTTTCAAGGAAAAGAAGGCTGAGTGAGTGGCAAAGGGTTCTAAACACCATCCGCTTACTCTTAGCCCGTGATCCCAATGGTGTATCAGCAATACTAGCTTTAAGCTATTATGACTTGCCGTATTACCTTAAATTTTGTTTTCTCTACTTGGGGTTATTTCCAGAGGACTACTTATTCTCCGCACGTAAACTTTTTCGGCTGTGGATTGCAGAGGGCTTGATCCCACAACATGGCGGAAAGATGGAGGACGTTGCAGAGGAATATCTGAATGAGCTGATTGATAGAAATATGGTTCAAGTAGCAAGGTGGAGTGCAAATGAAAGAGTGAAACATTGCCAATTACACGACTTAATGCGAGACCTCTCCATCTCGAAGGCAAAGGCGGAGGAATTTCTATATATTCATGGGCATCTAGTTACAGTAGCTCCAGCCAGTTATCATGCTCTCTCTCGAGCCCGCCACCATGCTATCTACTCTAATAGTTCTTTCTCCCTAGAAAAGTCAAGTCCCAACCTCCGGTCGCTCCTCTTCTTTAAAGTTGATCAGATCAAATGTGAAATTTCCAGTTATGATATATGTACATGTTTTAAACTCCTTAGAGTCCTGGAATTAGAAGAATTGAATGTGAGTTCAATTCCAAGGGAAATTGGAGAAATGATCCATTTGAGGTACTTGGGATTGAAGCGTAGCTCCACAACGGAGCTTCCAGAAGAAATAGGTTGTTTGTCTAACCTGCAGACTCTTGATATTGCAGAAAATTTCAGTCTTTTGAAGATCCCTGATGTGTTATGGAAGATGAAAAGCCTACGCCACTTTTACATGCATGCACGGCTTCTTGCTGGCAAGTTGCGAATTGACACCCTCCAAAATCTCCAGACTCTATCAGACATGCATATTGGTAGTTGGAATGAAACCAGCCCCGCCAATTTAATCAGTCTCCGAAAGTTGGGATTGAAAGGAAGCTTCACTGCAAACAGAGTAAGAATTTTCGATTCCTTAGCCAAGCTTGTAAGCCTACACTCCTTGTCGTTGAAGTCTGCTGATATTGTGTTTCCATCACTCTCTCAACTCTCTTCTCTTCGCTATGTCATTAAGTTGCATCTGAGCGGTGGGATAATAAACCTGCCTGAGCCACATGAATTCCCACCAAATCTCAACCAGTTAACCTTGTATCATTCCCGTCTTGACAAAAATCCTATGGAGATACTTGAGAAGCTGCCTTATCTATTTGTTCTCAGACTAAAAAGTTGTTCTTTCCTTGGAAAGAAACTGAAATTTTCAGCCAATGGCTTTCCTCAACTTGAGTTTCTAGAGCTTGAATTTTTGGAATTTTTGGAAGCGTTAGAAGGTGAAGAAAGAGCAATGCCAAAGATTAGGAGTTTACAAATTGTCGGCTGCGGGCGATTACGGATGCTCCCGGAAGAGATAAAGTATGCAACTACTCTCCGTGAGTTAGTGTTCAAAGAGATGCCAAGAAATTTCCTCGACAGGCTGCAAGGAGAAGACTCTCACAAAGTCCAGCATGTTCCCTCTATCGTAAAGTCATAATGGTCTAATTTGCAGGCACCAGGTTCATCTTCATCTTCATCTTTCATCTTTTTGCAGTGGACTTATAAGTCAGATTAATGAACGAACTTTCTAACATTTTCATTTTTCACCAGGTTCAGACAAACAATTTGGATCATGCGTTCTGCATAGATTTGTGGCGGAACAATTTGGATCATGTGTTGTGTACTCACTTGTTCAATGGCAGAAAGTTTTCTCACATGTGAATGAGACCATAAATTTCTTACCAATTGGAGAGAAGATCAGAAAACATCCAGCAATGAAATTCCATTATTGTATATTCAAACTTGTTAAGGTTAATGTACTGTTATAGCAAAAGCTGTGATACACTTAACAGCAATGTTTATGTTTATGTTTATGTTTATGTTTTTGTACTGAAGTGGTAAATCATGTAATAAAACTTGAGTTTAGCTGTGTGGCTAATTGTTCTTACACTTGTAATTAAGCTCCTCTTTAGTGGTGTTGTCTCTTTCTCCTCTTTTTTGTTACATAATAAACCCATATTTTTGTGTCTTTTCTTTCCCTGGTTTGTCTTGGCCTCTTTCCTTATATCCTCAAACGACGTCGCCTAGTACCAGTACTTTTGGCGCGAGTGCGCTGTGCTTGTTCTAGATTTTTATTTTATTTTATTTATAATTAATGGCCATTGAAACGTAAAAAGACAGTATTACCCTTGCTTTATAGTAATCTAAACGACATTATCTACTTATAATGACCAGTGACCCCAAGATATCGAAATTATTGGAAAATTGCCAACAGAAGTCGACGTATTGGGTCGAATGATTATTGTGCAACTGTGAAACTAACTGCCCCATCGGTGCATTGATTCAAATGGCAACTGTCCATTTTATAAGTACCCGCCAGCTTGTCTCTGCTCTGCAAATTGCAGAGCTTGAGAAAGAAAACGATGATGAGTTCGTGGGATCATTGGGTCGAAGAGGCTCTTCAGCAACTCGAGCATCTGCAGCTCCTCATGACCATGATACCCATTTACCTCCATCACGGAGCAACCCAGGAAGCCCAGAAGAAACCCATAGAAGATGAACTCGACGTGTTCGATGAAATGCAGCCGTGGGACCGGTCCTCTGTGGAGGTTCACATTTCTGAACCAAAGTTCATAGAACGGCCCCGTGGCATTCCCGTTTTGGGTAATTAACAACCATTTCCAACTGTATTTTTGGAAATTTCCCAGTTTTGAACTTACAGTTACGTTTATGGAATTTACAGGAGACGAGGAAGGAACCAAGAAGTTCAAAAGGCTGCTATTATTCTCTGGAAATGACTATTTGGGTTTGGGTTCACATCCTACCATAGGAAAAGCTGCTTCTAAGGTTGTCACTATATCACTCTGCTTTTCTAAAAATTGGTTCTTTAATTTACCATGTGTATAAAACCATGCATAACAAGAAGTCAAATTCAACCAGGCTGCTTTAGAACATGGAATGGGCCCCAGGGGTTCTGCTTTAATCTGTGGATATACCGATTACCATAGACGACTAGAGTCAGGCCTGGCAGACTTAAAGAATAAGGAGGTATGCATGAACTTCTCTGTTTGATTACAAAAGTTAAGTTTTATTTCTGATTTCTTTAGCTACTTTTAGGTGTTTTAACTGAAAACTGATGCAAGCTTGTTTTAAATTTATCCCTCTAGGATTGTCTCCTTTGTCCCACGGGATTTGCAGCCAACGTGGCCTTGATGGTAGCTTTGGGAAGTGTTGGCTCCCTCTCGGCTGCTGGCAAAACACCTTTAACTCATGAAAAGGTTGCCATTTTTTCTGACGCACTGAACCATGCGTCGATAATCGATGGAATTCGTCTTGCCCAACGACAAAAATCTGTAGAGATTTTTATCTATAGACATTGTGACATGACTCACCTTAATGAGTTATTGTATGTCCAATCTTTGTGTGCCTCTTCTTATTAGAGATATTCTTCATTAATATTGTGTCCATAGCTTAACGTTGCATTTGTGGCTTGCCAGATCAAGTTGCACAATTAGGAAGAAAGCTGTCGTGACTGATAGGTAAGTGATGCTGTTTTGGAATACTAGTTCCTATTAGTGGTGGATACGGTCTGGATTGGATCGGTTTCACCTCAAAACTACGACCGAATCAATTATAATGTGACGGTTTGGTTTGACTCGGTTTGGATAAAAGTTATAAAGAAAACCGAACCAAACCAAACCAATTTAAGATGGTTTGGTTTGGTTTGGTTCGGTCGGTTTGGGCTTAAGCCTAATTCTCTTTCTTTTTGCATTTTTTCAACATTGTTAGCCCAAATATAATCAACAAATTCACAACTTGCTTCATACATAAATCAATTTTTAGAGTACGAAACCATCCTAAAGCTCAAAATGTCATAAAACTTAATATTTCACTAACTAATATAGCTCAATTCAAATATTCATATATAGTTATTAACTAATTAGAGTATTACACATGTTAAATAAAATATAAATAAATAAAGAGATTTTCTATTTAAACCCCACACTTCTCTTTGTTCACCCCAATACATAAATCATTAAGCTGTAAGTTTTATTATTGTGTAAAAAGATAAAAGAAGGTCATCCAACTTAATACTTAACCATAGTATATCTATACACACACCTCACCACTCTTCATATAAAGTTTTAGAAAAATACAAACTCATTTACATCCAATTGCCAGATTACTCTTCTCTTTTAAAGACGTAGAATATTGAGGAGCCCTCCTCTTTAAAATATGCGTGGAAGCTGATGGAAAATCTCTTTTATTTCTTATTTTTTCAGCTTGTGGTGTATTTAAGGGTATTTTGGGAAGATAGTGGGGTTTTCTTAGAAATTGTGAAAATTTAAATTAGAAGTTGGGGTGAACTTAGAACATAGGGTGAACAAAGAGAAGTGTGAGATTTAAATAGAAAATCTCTAAATAAATATACACATAAACGGTTTGGTTTGGTTTTGGCCGATTTACAAAAGCTCAAAACCAAACCAAACCATATATGGTCCGGTTCGATTTTTAAACCATTTGACTTTTTCTTAGTTAAAACCAAACCAAACCGTTAATTATAGTTTGATTCGGCTGGTTTCATCTGTATGCCCACCCCTAGTTCCTATAATGTCATTCCAGTCCATATAAATTTCATCTTTGTATAAAGTGTTTCTATTTTGATTTTATCTGTTGTCTTTCACACCACAGCTTGTTTAGTATGGATGGAGACTTTGCACCAATGATTGAGCTGGTGAAGCTACGCAAGGAGCATAACTTTCTATTAGTAATTGATGATGTAAGTCCTCTTCTCACTGATTGTCGTTAAATTACTAACTAATGATTGTCCAGTTACCATGGGAAAGCAACTAGTCCTGTTTGATTGAATTTGTCTATATGAAAGGAAAAGTTTGGCTCTTGTTTTCAATTTCTTTGTGGCGTAAGTATAGTATTAGTGATACAAAGCAAATCTACTATTTGATTCAGGCTCATGGAACATTCGTTTGTGGGAAAAATGGTGGCGGAGTGGCTGAGGAATACCATTGCGAAAAAGATGTTGACATATGTGTTGGCACCTTGAGTAAAGCTGCAGGTTGCCATGGCGGATTCATTGCTTGCAGGCAAATATTCATGCTTTCTTTTCCCGTAGTAACAAGAATATAAATTTTAAATTATTTTGAGTTTTGAGTTTATAGTTGTAACATATACACAGTGAAAATGATATGCACCAGTCCTGTTAAAGCTTAACACTTGAGGTGTATAGATATATTGAATTATCGCATGTTTTATCTCTTTGCATGTGGAAGTTAAGCATTTTCTTTTTGCCATATAAACAGCAAAAACTGGAAGCAACTCATACAATCAAGAGGTCGCTCTTTTATGTTTTCAACTGCTATGCCAGTACCAATTGCTGCTGCTGCCCATGGTAATTTGTATAATTTTGTTTGGTTAGGGTGCTTATAGTTGATGGAACATTAACATCCATTCTACATTCCCTCACATGGTATATGATTGTTTTTTTTATCTTTATTGGAGTGGTTCATGATGTTCACAATACAAATATAAACTTTGCAGCTGCTCTAATTGTGGCAAGGAAGGAAACATGGCGTAGAAGGGCAATTTGGAATCGGGTGCAAGACTTTCGTGCTCTCACCGGAATCCCAATAAACAGTCACATAATATCTCTCATCGTAGGCAGCGAAGAGAAGGCTGAACAAGCCACCGAGTTTGGTTTCGTTCTCTATCTGTTTGTGTGTGTGATTTGGAGATGATTTCTACAACTGCATCTAACTTTGTTTACCATCAATGAACAGGAGTTTGTTGAAATCTGGTTTCCATGTAATTGGTATCGCACCCCCAGTAGTGCCACCCAACTCATGCAGGTTTTTGTGTCCAATCTTTCCTCACAATTCCCCTTTCAGCTATGGTTATATTTACAATTTTGGATTGTACCTTGGGAAATTGAAACCCAACTCATTAAACTTAGGAAAATGAAACCGAGCTAACTCATTAAACTTAGGAAAATGAAGGCCTATATACGATAGTAATATGTTGTTTGTTTGTGTACATTCTTATATCTTTAATTGTAATTTTTGGTCATGTAGGCTACGAGTGACACTGAGCGCAACGCATACAAGAGACGACATTGAGAAGATCACTGTTGCACTCTCTCGTTGTGTCAATTTCCAAGAAATTCGCATCAATGGCTCAAATGGTTATGCAAGGCTTTAGAATTTGATTGGTTTGAATACCAAAAGTTGATAACTCTAGTAAGAATCAATTATTGTACCCTAAGAATAATACTAGAGGCATCAACTAAAGATGGTATTATTTTATTTATTTTCTGTCCAAGAGTGATTGTTGTCAAATTTGTCTTTAATATTGTTTATGAATGTTTGTAAGAAAAAAATATGTATGTATGCATGCATATAGTCAATTATATCAATGCAAATGAGTGATAAAATTTGTACTTACAGAGTCTAAGAGTAATTGCAGTGAAATTTGTCTTTTTAGATCATTTATGAATATTTGTAAGAAAAAAAAATACATATATATTCCAAACATGAAAAACTAAAACAAATGTTTTGACAAAAAAAGAATATAAAAAAAACACAAACGAGATGTGAAAATTCAATAATGGCCTTAATGGTATTGTAATCTAGCAGGGTAAAAACGGCATTGCATATTTATCTTTATTCACGAATTGACCCCAACGTGTCTTGTCTTTTCTCATTCGAAACTATTCCCAAATTGCCAATTGGTCCTTTTGCAATTGGGGACATACGTGCTTAACCGTGCTTCTTCCGAATTTTTAACTCTGCTCAAGGCGTTACGCTCGAACAGTCCAACTACCCCCGCCGGCTTCTTCTCTCTCTGCTATGCAAATTGCAGAAGTTGAGCTGCATTGAGATGTTGAGGTCGTGGGATCATGGGGTCGAAGAGGCTCTTCAGAAACTTGAACACCTTCAACTCCTTCGTTCTCTCAGACCCATTTACCTCCAAAATGGACCAACCCAAGAAGCCCAAAACCCCGTCGACGATGAATTCCATGTGTTCGATGAAATGCAGCCGTGGGACCGATCCTCTGTGGAGGTCCACATTCCTGAACCCACGTTCCAGAAATGGCTCCACGACATTCCCAGTTCTGGTACGGTTCAATTCAACAACTATTTTCAAATTTGCTTTTTGTGGAATTTTCTCTGTTTTGAACTTACATTACGTTTATGGAATTCATAGGAGATGAGGAAGGTACCCATAAGTTCAGAAAGCTGCTACTATTCTCTGGGAATGACTATTTGGGCCTGAGCTCACATCCTACCATTGGAAAAGCTGCTTCCAAGGTTGTCTTTTTGGCATAACTTTTGTAAAGATTGCATCTTTAAGTTACCATGTAATAATAAGGATTTATATTCAATCAGGCAGCCCTAGAACATGGGATGGGCCCCAGGGGCTCTGCTTTAATCTGCGGATATACCGATTACCATAGGCGACTCGAGTCATGCATTGCAGACTTAAAGAAGAAAGAGGTATGAGCTGCTCTGTTTATACATTATACTCTGCTGATTTAACTTCTTTATGTGAACTTTGTCATCCATTCTCTTCTTCCTGTTTATTGGCCATGGCCCATGGTGTCAAGGGTCATTTGGTAGAAACTTGTATTTAGACTATGCTCGCTTTTACTGTTAGAGACATACACATGCTTTCCCAGTCAATGAACATCATTTCCTTTTTCATTTCTAGACGAAGTTTAATTGTGTGGTTTTTTTGAAGGTCTAAAGCCTTTGATTCTGTTGTTTTTTACTTTATGTCTGGTTTATTGAAATACTTTTTTAGGCTTTTTAGCTCAAAAGTGAAAACTGATGCAATCTTGTTTCAAATTTATCCCCTAGGATTGCCTTCTTTGTCCCACAGGATTTGCAGCCAATATGGCGTTGATGGTAGCTTTGGGAAATGTTGGCTCTCTCTTGGCTGCTGGAAAAACTCCTTTAACTAATGAAAAAATTGCCATATTTTCTGATGCACTGAACCATGCGTCAATAATCGATGGTATTCGTCTTGCTGAACGACAAAAATCTGTAGAGATATTCATCTATAGACATTGCGACATGACTCACCTTAATGCATTGTTGTAGGTCTTAAACTTTTGTTTTGAATTTGTGTGCCTCTTCTTATTGGATATGTACTTCCTTCTTACCAATGCATTTTGTGGTGTGGCAGATCAAGTTGCACAATGAGGAAGAAAGTCGTCGTGACTGATAGGCAAGTGCTACTTTCTGTACCATCATTTCAGTTGGAATCAAATTCACATTCATATAAAGTGTTCCTATTGATTTTATTTGTTATATTTCTTATGAATTGTTTTTGTCTTTCACTACAGCTTGTTTAGCATGGACGGAGACTTTGCACCAATGATTGAGCTTGTGAAGCTACGCAAAGAGCATGGCTTTCTGTTAGTTATTGATGATGTGAGTCCTCTTGAGTTATTCCACAGTAAAAACTTGTGAAACCTTTTTAAGATTAATCTTGTACACGCATCAATGATTGTCTTAATTATATTATGAATGAATTCTCCAGTTGCACACAAAAATCAACTTGTCCTTATTGATTAAATATGTCTATCGTACAGGAAAAGTTGGTCTATTTTTTTCTTTTTCTTTTGATGTAGGCACAAGGTATTAGTCATAAAAAGAAAATATTCTCTTTGACTCAGGCTCATGGAACATTTGTTTGTGGCAAAAATGGTGGCGGAGTGGCAGAGCAATACAATTGTGAAAGAGATGTTGACATATGTGTTGGGACTTTGAGTAAGGCTGCAGGTTGCCATGGCGGGTTCATAGCATGCAGGCAAGTATTCATGCTATCTTTTTGCTTAGTAACGATAACAGATATTGTAATTTGTAAATGTACGGTTTATAGTAGTTGTGGCAAATATGAAATGAAAACGCTGTGCGCTATTCCTGATTTACTAAATTTCTCTGAACGATGCTAAATAAGGAGGGAAACTGTGGCTGTTGGTTTTAAAACTTAATACTTTAGGTGTTGAAGTAATGGGTTCTTTTGTGTTCCATTTCTTTCTTTGTAATGGGTTCTTTCCATATAAACAGCAAAAGGTGGAAGCAACTCATACAATCAAGGGGTCGGTCTTTTATATTTTCAACTGCTACCCCGATACCAATTGCTGCTGCTGCCCGTGGTAATATATAATTTTGTTTGTTACAGGTGCTTTAGTTGAATATAATCCCTTTTAAATATGTGATACTTTTTAATACAGAAGCTTCTTTTACGCTGATTCCGGTGCTTTATTTATTATAAATGGTTGGTATGCAAGGACTGGCAGTCTGGCTGAGTGGTAATAGGAAAGAATGTAGATCTCGTAGGAAGTATCAGATGAATTCATGGTTTAGGAGAGAAGCCCAGTTCTGAATGTGATATCAAATTATGGGTTTTCAGAGCCAACGTATATAATAATCACTTGAATGAGCCAAGTTCAGGAGCCGGCTCGAGCTTGCCTCAAGCTTGGATTGTAAGCCCCATGTATGATTGTTCACATAACGGAATGGAACAATATCATAATATTGAGCAGTCTTCTACATTACTGTGGCTGTAATTTATCATGCATTATTCACATGCCATGATTAAAGTATTTATTTTCTTATCTCTATTGAAGTTATTCCCTTTGTTAACAATACAAATATAACTATGCAGCTGCTCTTATTGTGGCAAGAAAGGAAACATGGCGTAGAAGGGAAATTTGGAATCGGGTGCAAGACTTTCGTGCTCTCACTGGAATCCCCATAAATAGTCCCATAATATCTCTTATCGTAGGGAGCGAAGAGAAGGCTCTGCAAGCAAGCCAGTTTTGTTTCCCTCTCTATCTGTTTGTGTGATTTGGAGATCATTCTACAACTTTATCTAACTTTGTCTATCATCAATGAACAGGAGTTTGTTGAAATCTGGTTTCCATGTGACTGCAATTAGACCCCCAACAGTGCCACCCAACTCATGCAGGTCTGTGACAAGTCTTCATTTCTGCTACAGTATATTTACAAGTTTGGGTTGTGCTCATCTTGTTCATTTTGTATTATGATGCTTTGCTATTTGACCTTATTCAGTCCTGTTGAGTTAAATCTACCATCTAGCTTGTATTCATGAGGTCGAAAGGTTAATTGACATGACCAATTATATAAAAAAATGATTGATCATAGTGAAAATACGTCCAAAATGCATGTAACAAAGTTTGGAAATTGAAATCTAACTCGTTACACTTGGGAAAAATGTGGGTCTATACTTTAGTTCCTCCCCCCCCACCCACCCCCCAAACAATGGATGGGTTGAAAAATTAATGTTGTTTAATTGTGTACTTTACATCTTTTTCTTGATACTTTTTCAATAGGCTACGCGTGACATTGAGCGCAACGCACACAAGAGATGATATTGAGAGGTTCACAGCCGCACTCTCCCTTTGTGTCAATTTCCAAGAAATTGGCATTCACGGCTCAAATGGTGGATATGCAAGGCTTTAGGATTTGATTTGTTTTAGATTCCAATAGTTCATAAGTGTACTGAGAAAACACATATACTGAAATAAGAATTGAACATCACTTCATTTAGGATGTATGTGGGCCGGTTGTGGCTTTATAAAGCTCCTTTACACCTTTTTTTTTTTTCTTTCTTTTTCTTTTATGTTGAAGTCCTAAACTTTTGTTGTTTCATAAGGAAAAGAACAAAGTTGGCAATCTTTCCTGAGCCTATTTCCTTTCTAAATCAAACTTGCCAAAAAGCAAAACTTTTAGAGAGAGAAGAACAAGTTTTCAATTCCTAAACTTTAGAGAGAATATGACCAAAAGACAAAACTTTAGAGAGTGGGGTACCCGGGCCTTTTTGGTCATTACCAGTCATTAATTTAAAAGGATGTTACCATATTTTATGGATGGACGCAATTTATTTTTCTTTATACTTTATGTTATGTCTGCATGATATCAATCAAATGAGGATATTACCATATGGACCACCAACAACATGCACGACCAAAATTCACCAAATTAAAGACCATATATCATTTCCTTATATATATATGATAGGATATATTAATATTTTCTTTCCCACAATAACCACACGTGTGTGCCCCAGTACAAAAATGGCTATTTTAGACAAAAGGCCAGTAAACCCCCCAATATTGATGTAAAGTTCCTAATGATATTTTCCTATTATTATAATATCTATATATATAGAGCTTCCATTCCACTGAAGATTAATGAAACAATCGAGTTAAATCAACCCTTGGTAGAGTTATCCACAGAAGGGCTAGGAGTTGCCATAGCAAGCCACCATTTCTGTCCCATCCACGTGGCAGTAGTGGAAGGAGATGAAGAAGAGCACCACCTTGTCGGCTCATCATGCTGCTGCTGCTGCTGCTGCTTAGAAGCCTCATTGCTTGCATTTCCATCTTCCCCATCCTCTGTTTTAGCATTCAACATCTGCTTGTAGACACACGCATTAAATGAAAAGGGGGTAATTAATTTTCTTCTTAATTATTAGTACTATATATAAATAAAAAATTGAAAAAAAAACAGAGGAAATTAATAATTCACAACAAGGGCTGAGACATCTTAGTACTCACACGTGGATATTGATGATGATGGTGTCTTCTCTGGTAGGTGAGGGTCCTAGACAATACAGTGCTAGTTTCAGAGGTGTTTTGGAGGTTATTAGGGTTAGGGTTGGGGAGTTCATTAAGGTTGATGAGGAGGGTGTTGGTGACGGTGACACTTCTCTTGGACTTGGAGGGGGGCCCAGGTGGAAGAAAAATAGGAGGAGAGGCAGAGGGTTTATAGCTCACATTGCATAAAGTGGCAGTCTTGACTGGGCGCCTCTCAGCTACAGGCTTGACAGGAGACTGAGGCTGAGGCTGAGGAGGTATAGGGATGAGGTGGGTGGCTGAGGATGAGGAGGCTGAGGGTGGGGTAGAGATGCCCATGTTTGGCCACAGAAAGGACCCTTGTGGCCTGCATATCCTGAAACCACTCCTCAGTCTCTGTATTTTGGCTGCCTTGTCCTCATGAGTTGCTGTGGCTGCTGCATTATTGTCTCCTCCTTCAAGCTTATCTTCTTCTTCTTCTTCTTCTTGCTCCCCACCCTTTGATTTTGTCGCTGCTCTTTGATCAGTGTCTGATGGCGGTGGTGCTTCTGAGATACTTACTGGTTCTTCCCTGCTTGATTTCAGCATCCCAATTTGTTCCTGCATTAATATTTTAACCTCCATATCCATCAAACATGTTCCATGCTAGCTTAATATCATCACCATTTCATTAACACCATATGCTGTCATATTGATTATCCCCAAATATGATTTACAGACAGTGTTAAGAATGGCATATGTTAAAAAATTTGCTTATGCATACATACTAAATTAACATGAAAGAGACCAATTTTATTGTGTAAATTAATGAATAATTGGACATGAAAGTGATCACTATACTGGAAGGCAGTTAGAAGTGATTAATAATATATTCATATCACATTTAATGAACTTAAGACATCAAATTAAGATAACCAGGGGGCCAATTTATATCATCCTACCTTCAAATCAGACAAAGATTGAGAAACAACCATTAGTTGTTCTTCCATCTTAGTTTTCTTAACGATTTGCTCTGCATGCTCCTCCTGCAAAATCCCAACAAACGACAATTAGTAGCACTTAATATTATTTAAAGCAACCATAATCAAGTTGAACCATGAAACAAGTTAATAAAAATTAAAAGGTCCAAACTTTTGTTATCATAATATTATATTTAAAGCAGCCAAAGTTGATGAATAATTGAAAGTGACCAATATACTGGAGGCAGTAAAGAAGTAATTAATTATATGTTTAGATCACATTAAGTGTGCGATTAAGATATAAGGGGATAATTAATTAATATCATGATCTGGGTACCTCCATTCGAGACAGAGATTGAGACATTTCCATAAGTTGTTCTCTAATCTTATTTTGCTGCATTGTTAGCAGTACTGAATACTCCTGCAAAATCCCATCGAACAATTAGTAGCAGTTAATTAAAGCAGCCATGATCAACATAAACAAATTAAATTGAAATGTCCAAATTTGTTGGTTCACCTTTTGATTGATTAATGAACCATCATGTTCCCAGTCAAGACTTGTCAAACAAGAATTTGACATGGTCACTAAAGCTAGATTATCCTCTTGATTCTTGGACACATGAAGCTGCCTGCATATCCAGCAAGAAATATCACAAACACATACAACACCAACTTAAAACAGAGAGCTAGATTAATTTGCCAAAAGAAAAGCAGAGAGCTAGATTAAGGAACTCACATACACATTATAAATTAAACACAGAGGACATCAAAGATGAATAACATTAACAGGGTTTACTATTCACCTTTTTATCTTGGTTATCTCTTCCCTGAGCTCATGAATCTCTCTGGTACAAGTGGGGTCTCGAGTGGGATTATCACCAGGCGCCCACCCAGGTAGTGGGGTCCAATAAGGGTCTTGAACCCCAGCTTGTTTTCTGATATCAAACAGATCAGCACTCTCCAGCCAATACTCCATGGCTCCATCTGCATTGTGGCGCCGCCTAAACCTCTCGGCTCCACCTGGCGCCACCTTGCCCGCCATGTGTTTGAGCAAATGGTCCAACAAACCAGTATCCCCAATCAGCTTCCTTGCCTCAGACCTCAGCGCTGGCCTCAGTATTGGGCTCCCAAATTTAGCACCCTTGGCCTTCATCACCCTCAGCATGTTTTCCTCTGCAGCCTTGTACCTTAAACCCAAATCAAAGCATGAACACATATTAACAAAACCCAACTTCTTAAACAAAGATCAAAATAACTAATACAGCTAATCGAAACAACTAATTAAGAACAGAGTCCTCACCTCCCTGCAGACCATCTTGCCACTGTGTGTTTTACCAATTTCTTGTTACTCCGATCGGGAACTGCTACAACTTGATTCTGCTTTTGACGTTTTGTTATAGATTTTGATTTCTTTGTGGTTTTCTTGGGCTTTCTATGGTGATCTTGGCGCTTCCTCTTCCTACTCCTAAGGTTCATCTTCCAGGGCACAACAGGAGGAGCCTCGTCCTCTGTTTTCACATCTTCTTCTTCTTCTTCAATATCATCATCTTCCTCTATCACAGTTATTGCTTTCTCATCATCCACATAGAAATCATCACCATTTTCCTCTAGCTCTGTTAGCTCCTTCCCCTTCTCTTCTTCTTCGTCAGTACTATAGCTCGGTGAAGGCTCGTGCCTGCGCAGGTACCGAACCTGCCTGCGCTTACCCCACGTCACCATCCCAGTGAACTTTAGCTCCGACCAGCATGGACCCTTTTTGGAAACCACACTCCTGTTCATGACCTCACCGCTGACTGCTGGGCTCGGTGAAGAGCTTATTCTCTGGTAATTTGTCGCAGAGGGTGTAGCAGCCCAGAAGCTCCAAATGTTGCTCCGATCTGCAAGTTCCTGAGGTGGGATTCTCCGGTAAAGCACCTCTGAAGCCATTTCTGCTGGCATCACGTACTTCTCGTTAAGCGCTGGAATCTGCTTGGCCAATGGTTTTGCGTAGCCTCCTTCGGTGATGTGAGTGTGGAGAGAGTGAATGCTTGGGAACCTCACAGCCACTTTGAGCGCACCCTTCTCACTCACCTGCATACAAAAATGGACCCAAAACTCAAAACCCATATGAAATCGAAATCAAAATCAAATCTGAAAAATAAACAAGAATAGTGAAAACTATTTGTGGGTTTTGGTGAAGGCGAGTACCATGACGACTCGAACCGCTTTGAGCTGTTCTGGGGTGGTTCTGGGAGGGAGCTTAGAGTGGTCGATTTCATAGTAAGAGCCCACTTTAATGTGATCTATAGCCTCTGCAAAACCCATAAAAATGCACAAAATGAATCAAACAGTTGCAGATAATGGTCCAAACACAAATCAGAAGAAGCAGGGAAGAAGAAGAAGATAAAAAAGGGGGTGTACCTAGTAGCAAACAGATGGGCGATGGAGTGGCAGTTGTGGGCAGAGCATGTCTGGGCAAACAAGGGCTTGGTGCCTTATTTTGCTCTTGCTTCTTTTCCAAGTACTTCATCATCTTCTGAGAAATGAGAAAGACCCACAGTCACCACTTACATATAAACCCACGTACACTAATCAGTCATCACCCTCTCTCTCCCTCTCTTTCTCTCTCTTCAACCAAAACACACACAACACACACTATTCACCGCGAGCACTATATATATAGACCAAAACGGCATAACAGAAAATAACAAAATATTATTTTGCACGGATAGGAATATATGTTTTCTCGCATTTTTGTTCATTTAAAAAAAAAAAAAATCTCATTTTTAAATTTTTTATTACAAAATTGCTCAGGACAATTTTGCCCTTGAGCTGATACATGCCATGGACGCGAGTCGCTTCGAACGTGCGTTTTGGGAGAGCGTAGGGAACAGTAATGTTCTAGCATTTAATAGTTGGTCGTTCTAATTAGACACACCGTAGGAGTTTTCAATGAGAACCGTTGGATCTGTTTCATGTATCATTTAAAACAGTCGGATTAGTTTCAATAGAGAGTAAAAAGCTTTACTTTTTTGAGAGTGAAATGTACAGACAGAGGAAGAGAGAGAGAGGGAAATGGAGCGAAAATTGTTATGACCGGAAACCGATTTAGCAGTGGACTGTGGCGTGGGAAGGAAATAACTTGGAGGTCACGTGCTCCCTTTATATTGGAGTGGTCCCCTACTCTACTCTACTCCCACGGTCCCTCCCACCCCAGAGGCAGGAGAGGCAGGAGAGAGAGTTGGTTAATATTGTTTTGTTTTTATCAGCAAATTATAACTTTCTGTTGCACATAAAAATGAGGGAGCTGCCCAATGGATCAATATGTCACATAATATTCTCAAGAATGAGATTTTCTACACCTTTATTTAATTAAAGTAGACAAATCATATATATAGGATTATTCATGACTTGAAATTATCATTTATGGGCTTTCAAAATGTATGAAATGAGCCCAATAGGCCCAAGAAGTTCAAGGACCATATGATTAAGGAAATCTTTAATTACATGCGAGTATATTTCTTCACCTAGCCTCTATCCCAGTCTCGTACAATTCCAATGTCGAGACAAATCAAGGATCAAATCAGTAAGGTGAATGGGTTTACTTCCAATCAGGATAAGATTCCAGAACCCTTGTTCAACACAATTGCTGTCTTCTTCATACCACTGCACTCCAAATTCAAGACATTTTTCACAGATTTTGAGCAAGTCTTTACCCTTTACACTTAGGACCCAGAAATCAGTAGTTAGAGCACTTGCCACTGAATCAGCATCACCACCACCGGCAAAGATGGTCAAAGCCATTCGAGTCCATGAGCTTGGTGGACCTGAGGTCTCTCTCTCTCTCTCTCTCTCTCTCTCTCTCTCTCTCTCTCTCTCTCTCTCTTTCTCTGTTTCCATACATAGGCTTTTATGTTTGAATTGGCCGGCTGCTGGGTTGTGCTTTTTATTTTTATCAGATTATCAAAACTCACTTGTGTATAATTACTGGTTAGTGGTTACTTGTCTTTATTTCTATGATTGTTAAAGGATTTGAGATTGCTGAATTAAATTCACAGTTTGTGTATGGTGTATCAAGTGTCTTCATAAATAATCCTTCACATAAGTCGGCCAGATCAGAAAACAATATACAGTTTTTGACATTGATTATTCAGTATCCATTACTTTTTTTTGGGTAAGGCAGTATCAGTTTATGTCTAGTTTTGCTTAAAGAAAATTTATTTTTGTTGTAATTTGTCTTTGACCTCCCATAGAACAGGGTCTGCTGTTTTAAACAAGTACTTAACATACCCCTGAATAGATGAGTTGGGACAAAGGAAGATGTGGAAGTAGGAGAGCCAAAGGAGGGAGAGGTTCGTGTGAAGAACAAGGCCATTGGGCTTAATTTCATTGATGTGTACTTCCGCAAAGGCGTTTATAAGGCTGCTACGGTTCCCTACACCCCAGGTTTTGCTACATTTCTAAGATTATGAAAGATACAGTTCAACCAAGATTGACTTCTAGCCAATTTTTGACTTAATGTTCTTTTCAAAAACTTTGGTTTTTCTGCACTGTTTTCTCTAATAAACCTTTACCATGAGAGTATATTTTTTGAAATATGGTTAGGAACGATTGGGGTGAACCTAATACAACCTAATACAAGAACGCAGAGCATGACATCAGAGAACGATTTCCATTGTTAGATTTGTTGTATATATTTACATCTAAAACTTTTTTGGGCTTTGATAATGGATTTACACAATTTATTTACAAATCAAAATCAGGTGTTGAGGCTTGTGGAGTTGTGACAGCTGTGGGACCAGGACTAACAGGCAGGCAAGTTGGAGATCTTGTAGCCTATGCTGGTCAGCCAATGGGCTCATATGCGGAAGAGCAGATCCTTCCTGCAGACAGAGTTGTGCCTGTTCCTCCTTCCATTGATCCTACTGTTGCTGCATCCCTCTTGTCCAAGGGTATGACAGCTCAGTTTCTACTACGCAGTTGTTTCAAGGTAGCTTTATATTTATGCAGCAGCATCTGGAATTTCAGGAACCACACATTAAGTCTGTAAATGAAGATAGTTTGAATTACAAAACACGAGATAACCACATCCTGGTTGTGATATTTTAGGCCATGCTAGTTTTAATATTCCTTGAATATGCATGTGGCATTGGAAAACATTTTTATAGAGCTATTAGCATGCACCAATGAGTTTTCCTGTGGAGGAGAATATTCATTTCTGTTAATACTGTTTTGATCTTTATTGTTATCATTGTAAAACTTTTTGGGCAGAATTGCCCCTGTTTTGACAAAGTATGCTCAGTTGTGTTTGAGTTAGTCTTTTTCATTTGTTAATCATGAGCACTCATGGGAGTTGAGGAGCTCTCTCTCTCCCTCCCTATTTATATTTGTTCCTTTGAGACTATAAATTTTAAAAACATGTCCTATCATTATCTGATGTAAGATAAAACTACCATTCTTGTTCTCTTTCACTTTTTCATTTGTGGCGCACTTGTTGATTCCGTTCCACCGGAAAATCTGTGGAAAGAAAAAAAAAAAAACATAACAACTAAGTATGAGTTCAATGAGTAAAATGTCCAAACCAGCAAGATAGTACCCCTTAAAAAACAAGCTCTATTGTAAACCAGCAACGTGTAATCAACTAAGTGCTTCAATCTTAATTTTGGTTCATTCTACAATTGCATGCTTAACATAGCCCATCCTCTTTCCTAATGTTATATATGTTTAAAAAATTTGAAACTTATGTTGCTTTTGTTATTAGGTCTGACTTGAGTGTTGTTATACAGGTTGAACCTGGACACACAGTCCTTGTCCATGCAGCAGCTGGTGGAGTTGGATCCCTTTTATGCCAGTGGGCTAATGCCCTTGGTGCCACTGTCATTGGAACTGTATCTACTAAAGAGAAGGCAGCTCAAGCCAAGGAGGATGGATGTCACCATGTCATAATCTATAAGGAAGATGACTTTGTTGCTCGAGTGAAAGAAATAACATCTGACAATGGGGTCGAGGTTGTTTATGATTCTGTAGGGAAGGACACTTTTGAGGTAAGCTATACTTTTCTTCTCCCTTTTTTCTACAAATGAACGAAAACACAATCAAGGGTGTTTAGGGAGAGATCATACACTGTTCAAATTCTGCATGAATACATTTGAGTAGGCTTCCCCCTAACATGGTGCTGAAGTTTCTCAATGCTAGACCAGGCCTATGAAACCTTTTTGAATTTGAGCCAGGTTTATGAATTTTTTAAATGATGAGGGGTTCCATTTAGATGGAATGCTTTAAAGTTAGGAGTTGGATTTTGACAAAACGCTTTTATGTCGGATCAGTCAATCTAGCTATATTTTATTTACTAAATTCTTAGACCTGAAATCT